TACTATCGGGATGTGAAAAGACTTTCAACCAGCATAACAAAAAATGTTTCTGAAGACAATCACCTATTGCCCCTTTAACATCTTGATTATTTCTGTCTCAAAGTCACATGAGTGTTTCTACTACTGAAAAACAGAGAGAAAAGTGACCACAGAGCTGGATTGCGCAGAAGGAAAATTGAACATGAAGACTGGAGTAAATAGGCGCGATGCGCTCGAAGATGTCATTAACGAAAGAGTTCATGATCCCCATCGCCTTGGAGGAGATCCCGGTGTCAGGATGAACCTGCTTCAGGACTTTGTAAATGAATTTACACTTAAAATATAAATCAAAAATGTATTTCAGTCTTTAAACAACTGAAAAAGTGGAGTACCTTAAGTCTTAGTTTCTTGAAATATATTATATATTGATTAGAGAATGATTCAAGAATGCATATTTATTCATTCATTTTTGCAATAACATAATACAACATCATAAAAAAGACCCCCTTTTCCATCAGTTGCTGCATGGACAGAAAAGCTGTAGGCTTCAGCTCCTGAGAAAGATAAAAAAGAGAGAGAGAGGGAGAATTAAATAAGAAACATTTTACATCATGCTTTAACATGTTTAACTCTGTAATATATATTTCTGATGTAACTCTTATGCACTGTTGGGGTTGTAGAGAGAGAGAACCAAACAGAATAATCATGTTACTGACATCTAACTCTAAACTCCAAATTTAAGTATATAAGAGTAAAACCAACCAACTGAATGTTCTCCCTTCTTTCCTCAATTGTTTGTCAATCCGGTAACACTTTCTATGAAGCCTGTATTTATAATACATTATAAGGGTTTTCTTAAGGCATTATAATTAATGCATAAAACATTATAAAAAAACCTTAATAATATGTTGTATCAATTCAAAAATAATCATAACGTTTATAATACATTATAATACTTACGCATTTGTGGTTATTACTTTTAAGAGTATGAGTACATATAACACACAATTAATTGAATACCATTATAAATCCACTTAATTTATAATGGATTATCTTGACATAGTTTATTTAAGATCTGGACAGTATCTTACTACATCTTGTGAGTGGTTAGGAGTGGTCGCTGTGAGCTACTTTAAGATCAGTTGTAATACTTTCAAATGAAAAAATGCAACGGGTGTTTTTTTTTTTTTTATTAGATTACATCTTATTTTGATGGTCTCCTTTAGTCTGTTGACTATAAGCTACTTTGCAACTACATGTCAACTAACTCTCATTAGAGTATTAGTAGGCTTAGTTAAGGTTAGGGTTGGTAGAATAAGTGTCACTTATTAACAGCTGTTTAAAGGGTACCATGAAAATAATCAAACTGATATTACAATAAAAAATAGTTCAAAGCAAATGTGTACACATTCATCTGATCTTATGGCTGTTTTTGAAAAACGTATTATTATTATCATTATTATTATTATTATTATTATTATTTATAAGTGGTCTTTGTCTGTTTTAAGTACAGTGAAGTTACTTCACTTAAAACAGATAAAGAGCACTTATAAATAATAAGACAACATTAAATCATTTTGGAATGTTTTCATGAAGACTTTGTATTTGTTATTTTACAGTAAAAACACAAATAAGATGTACTAAGTTAT